GTCGTCCATCTGCTGAACGATCAGCACCTGGTGAGACTCCGCCTCCTCGTGGCGAGCTAAATACTTCTATTTATCGTGAGAACGAGCTGATCGATGTGATGCCGTAGTTTAAGCCCCGCCCTGAGACGCTGACGCTGCCTTTCTTTATTTCAGGGCGTGGTGACGGCAGCCACCAGCCTCATCACCACTCTGGCCCAGAAGAACCCGGATGACTTTAAGACCTCCGTGTCGCTGGCGGTGGCCCGGCTCAGCAGGGTGGGTGTCCGCGTGACGCGTCGCTCGGCTCAATCATAAACCGGCGGGGACGTTAATCTCCTTCCTGTTTGTTTAGATCGTGACGTCGGCGTCCATCGACCTGCAGGACTACACGTACTACTTTGTGGCGGCCCCGTGGCTGTCCGTCAAACTGCTGCGCCTGCTGCAGTGCTACCCTCCTCCAGGTACGCCACACACGCCCGCTCCTGTTTGCTGCGCACGCGTTAGTCCACCACGAGTAAGTAAAGGTTTGAGAGGCGTAACCGTGGCGACGGGGCTTGAAGCGTCTGGTTTTCTTTGCAGAGGACGCCGCGCTGAGAAGTCGTCTCACCGAGTGTTTGGAGACCATCCTCAATAAAGCCCAGGAACCTCCGAAGTCCAAGAAGGTCCAACACTCCAACGCCAAGAACGCCGTTCTGTTTGAAGCCATCGCCCTCATCATCCACCATGACAGGCAGGTCATACATGAGGCAGTTTGCTTGGCATGTGGGCGGGGCCAGTACCTAGCACAGCTGTCATTGGGTGACAGTGACCTATCACCTGTGATGGAGATGAAACAGGAATCAGGTTTGTGTGTAAAATGTAAATAAGGCATTGCCATGGAAACCAGAACAAAGAGCTCAGTAAGTACAAATGGAACTCAAAATTAAAGATAAGTAATAAATTAAAAGTATTAATTTAAGTTAAATGTTAAAAACAGAATCTAATGAGCTCAGAAAGTTAACATTGAAATATTTAACATTTTAAAATAGTTCAAATTTAAATGTTCAAAGTAAAAATGTGCAAAAAGCTCAACGTGATCAAATCAGATTAAACATAAACAAACAGCACAAATATGAGATGATGTCAGAGGGCTGAGCGAGCAGATGTTGTACAGATGTGCTGCAGTGTAGAGGGGTTCCTGGGCCGGCCCACATTCCTGACCCGCGTAGCTCCGGTCGTCCTCGGACGCCACGCTCAGCGTGTTCGGGTGTCTGAGCCTCACGCTTGTCCCCCGTTGTCTCCCAGCGAGCCCACCCTGTTGGTGCGAGCCTGTAACCAGCTGGGCCAGTTCCTCCAGCACAGAGAAACCAACCTCCGCTACCTGGCGTTGGAGAGCATGTGCACGCTGGCCAGCTCCGAGTTTTCCCACGAGGCCGTGAAGACGCACATGGAGACTGTGATCAACGCTCTGAAGGTGAGTCTCAGCTGGACGCCGTCCGTCCTGACGAAACTCAAAGGTTTGGTTCAAATAAGTCTGACCTTTACTTTGAAATTCACACTTGCTTCCTGGTGCGTCCCGTGCAGACGGAGAGAGATGTGAGCGTTCGCCAGCGCGCCGTGGATCTGCTCTACGCCATGTGCGACCGCAGCAACGCCAAGCAGATCGTGGCAGAGATGCTGAGCTACCTGGAGACCGCCGACTACTCCATCAGAGAGGAGATAGTGGGTCGTGATGTCAGCACGTTTCGCCGTTCGCTTTAAGCGGCGTGAGCGCTTGTCTTCAGCCTCTGGCTTCTCTTCCTCAGGTGCTCAAAGTGGCGATCCTGGCGGAGAAGTACGCTGTGGACTACACCTGGTACGTGGACACCATCCTGAACCTGATCCGCATCGCTGGGGACTACGTCAGCGAGGAGGTCTGGTACCGCGTCATCCAGATCGTCATAAACCGAGACGACGTCCAAGGTTACGCCGCCAAGACCGTGTTTGAGGTGAGCCTCGCTGCTGTCCCCGAACGCTACAGAGCTCACCGCTGTTTTAAGACGGCGCCGCTGCCAGCTTCATGCTCACGCG